TATATATATATATATATATATATATATATATATATATATATATATATATATATATATATATATATATATATATATATATATATATATATATATATATATATATATATATATATATATATATATATATATATATATATATATATATATATATATATATATATATATATATATATATATATATATATATATATATATATATATATATATATATATATATATATATATATATATATATATATATATATATATATATATATATATATATATATATATATATATATATATATATATATATATATATATATATATATATATATATATATATATATATATATATATATATATATATATATATATATATATATATATATATATATATATATATATATATATATATATATATATATATATATATATATATATATATATATATATATATATATATATATATATATATATATATATATATATATATANGTTTAAAATATGGTTGGTAAACATTTTTACTATATAACTGGATTTTGCGATAAAAAATTCAATTTTTGCAAATTTGCAAATTTTTTGCAGATTCTAAAAGTAGAGCTTTCTAATGATGTATCATTTGTCATATTTGGACATCAAACACAGGATTTAGAGGGGGTGATCAAATTGACCCCCCCCCCCAGCATATCCTGGTTTTCAAGTACCCCAGCAGGGATGGGTTAAGAAGTAATTGAAAAAATCTTCATCGAGTTTTGCGTGATGGCTTATAACCTTTAAATGATAAGACTATTTTATGTTATAGAAAGATTAACAAATTGATGGGGGAACATCTGTGGTATAGACCGCTAACTTTTTCAACTTCAGTTTTGAACAAATTTTGCAAGAATTCAACATTCTTTGATAGATTGCTCAGTGTTTTCAAAACGTTTCCGACGTACTTTTTTCTAAGGGCTCCGTAGCCATGATGACAGACATTGTTTTAATGACTTGAACTTGAAAAGTTTGACTAGGGATATATATGTATCACACTCCCCTAGCTTTGATGTGATTGCTGGATCTATGCAAATAGATTCTTCAATCTCGGTATTTGTACAGTCTAGGAGAGTACATTTGTTTATTGTTAATTGTTTACTTAAAAATAAGTTTGATATACATATAATATATTATTTACATATTTAAGTCAACTGCACTATAAAGCCAAACTTTCATACAAAGAATATAATTTGATTAAATTTTCCAATAAACTACTCGTTTTTCAAGCCTTATTTATAATTGACAACATTGTTCTGCATTTCCTTGACTGTAGTCATGTTGTGTGTCAGTACCAAAAGAGTGTGTGTATAGAATACCGAACTCGTCTGCGAAGCAGTGCGACTGGCTTTTTCATGCCAGACCAGCGCCATTTCCTTCTCGTTATTTCTATTCCCTGTTCCTGATACATTCCTCGCCAGCAGGACATTCCTACGACACAGAGGTGTTAAATTTATTTATATTCCGTAACATTTTTTAGACTTTTTATCATGGCCTTTTTTAAATTTAAATTTCCCCTGATTTCTATTTTACTTTTATTTCTAACTATATATTTATATCTTAACGTTTATTGGTAGAAATCTGACCAGTACAAACGTCGGACGTTAAGGTCGGACAGTACAAAAGTCTGACTTACAAACGTCGGACTGGTACAGGCGTGAGACTGAGACAAACGTCGGACCAGTACAAATATCGGATGGGTACATTTATAAGGAAAAACGTCGAAATTTGGTTGAGTTTGAAAAAAAATACTATTGCTATAAGAAATAAACTAAAAATCACTCACTTATTGTGTTAAAAATCAAAGACAACTGAATTAAGTTTTATCCTTTGAAGGTATACACTGTATAAAACAACAGACCAAAAAGGTGTTGTGTTCAATTGTCATAAACTCTAATATTTCAATATACCTATATCTTTGCAACCCAATGTCGTATAACCTTTAATACTTCAACCTATAAAATCTATAAGATCAAACAATTTAAGTTTGAAAATATCAAAGGTTAATACTATTACCAGGTTGCAAAGTTATGGGATGAGAATATTTGAGTTAGTGGCAAGAACTCAGTACCCTTGGGTAGACCAGTCGATAAAAGGAAATAACTTTTTAATACAAAATATCTTAAAATTCAAATAATTTTTTTTCCTTAGTCCGACGTTTGTTTTAGTCTGACGTTTGTACTGGTCTGTTGTTTGTACTGTCCGATGCTTGTCCCAGTTAGACGTTTGTACTAGTCCAATGTTTGTCCTATTCCGACGTTAGATTTGTACTGTCCGACATTTGTGGGTCCGACGTTTTGACTGGTGCCGTTTTTCCTAAACGAACAAAATTTTTAAGAACAAACAAACTTTTTTGTGAACATTGGTGTTGTTCAGAAAAAAATGATGTACGAACAATTCTACTGAACAAACAATTAAAATAAATGATCGTTCAGTGAGGATAAACGAATAAAAAAGGTTGAAATTGAACGATTATGTTCAGAACCAACAAATATTTTTTTGTACAGTAAGATTAACAACAAAAGATATACTTTGCGAAAATCTAAATTTTTTCTTTTTATAGCTAGCTTTAATGTATAATGCATAGATTTTTCAGGAAAAGTTATTTAAGTTCTCCAGTTAATTTCTTCTTAGTATTCTAAAGTTTTTAATACACGCTTTTCAGTTGAAACCTGAAGAGTCATTGAAAAACAACTTTTCCTTTAAAATTAAACTTGAACTGAAAGTTTCTTATTACTTTTTTGAGATCTAGATATTTATTATCTCCGTATCGAGATTTTGTTAATTTTACAAAATTGTTTACATGTATTAAATAAAACTATTTTACAACAATATCGTGTACATTCATTTTTAAAAAAATTAAGAAGAGATCAATTAGTTTACGGATACGCTTTATCTTTTTTTTCCCTTGCCAAAATTAATGGTACATTTATATTCAAGTATTGATAAGGCAGCAGTTCAAGAGAAAAAAACAAACTACATTATTTATAATGCGGTAGCATATCTGTATGCAATAAGACTGAGAGTTATTACAAACACAGTTTGTGTTGTCGCATATTAGAAGGTGCTAAAAATAACTTTGTGCATGTTTTCAAAATACATGCGCGGGAGCTAGTTTTCTTTTTTAAATTAAAGAGAATTTATGTTAGCTCATTAGTTTTGAGACTATATAAACTAGGTAAATGAAGGAACAGTATAATTAAGAATCATACTAACGAGGAACATTGATGGCTACATAAACTAGGATATTGAAAAGAGATAAGATTTCAGTCTCTTCGTGTTCCTCATATCTTTTAAACTAAAGAGCGATTATGTTAGCTCATTAGTGTTGAGGCAACATAACAAAAGGAACATCATAATTAAGAAATGTACTAACTAGGAACATTGATGGTTCCTCGTTAATATCTCGGCTACATAAACATGGATGGTCGAAAGAGAGAGAGAGAGAGACAAAACTTCAGTCTCTTCGTTGTCCCCATATCTTGTGACATCTTGGTTCCTCGTCGTTGAAATTTGTCACAGTTATCTGCCGGTTCGGGAGGCGTTTCAGTTCTGTTCAAACTGAATAAGTAAAAGAAACCATTAGTTTATTTGAAACATTCGGTAGTGCTTACATTTTCTTATTACAATTTTGCGAATTTTCTGTGATTCAATCTTTATAATATTTTAGATTTCGATTGAAATAATTTGTTCACACTTTTTTTCTTTTCGGAACTTTTGATTTTGAGAGAAAAAAAGTTTCGCGGATTTTTTTTTTGGGACAATGGAAATCCAAAAAATATAAATTTCAAAAAATATTTAAAAAACCCCATACAGAAGAGTTGCACAAAAAAGGTACAATTTTGCACCAGGTGCAGCTAATCACATTTTTTTTGATTTTTGACTCACCCTGTACTTACAGGACAATTTATTTTAAAAGAATGAATATAAAAATTCTGAAAATGATTTAATAGCCAACTATTTAATACAGATGTTAATTTATGGCTACAGTTTATGATTGATCAAAAATGATAAAAAGCTATTACACATTTTTCCAATTTGCCCCTCTCCCCCCTCTCTAAATCCGTAGTTTTGAAAATAAATATGCCAATTTTTAATTTTTACATTTATTTTTCTTGGATGTACACAATAAATTTAGTTCTCAATGTGAATTAATCAATATTTTGTCAAGGAAAAATAAAAAATAATTAATTTTTCGTACAGTTTGATAAATCTAAAAGACCTAATATTTGAGTAGTGCTTGGCAGGGGCGTATTCAGGAATTTGTCCGGGGGAGGGGGCTCAGGGGGCTCAGCACCCGTTGGGGCCTGAAAACCCCCTGAAATCAATAAATTTCACTGGTCCAGGGGGGGCTTAGCCCCCATAGCCCCCCCCCGAATACGCCTCTGGTTCTTGGATATTAAATTCACGCAATAAAATTTTCTTCAAAATTATGTTTTCCTTTATGTATAAAATGCAAATTTAATTTAAAAATAATCCCAGATTTTGTTTTGTAAGTTTCATAATTTGCGACAACTTTATAGATGAGACAAGTAAAACAGATATTAATAACAATATCATTATTTTATTGGTTTTCACAGTCTGATTTTATTTTATGTTATTAGACCGGCAAGGTTGAACAGCTTTTTTAAAGCCAAGCTTAAAAGCGAAATTGAATGTAAAGGATTTTTATTTTTTACAAATGCAAATAGTTAAATTTCCTGAATTAGATAATTAAATTAAAAATTAGAAATCCGATATTTTAATTGAACACAGGGCTATTAACACTAAATCATCTTGGCATCAATCCTTATACTTATATAATTAGTTTGGATTTTTTTGCAAATTCGTGATTTTATCTTTTGTAGATTTGCGAAACTAAATGAATTAGATCGTGTTTTTTTGTGTTTTAAAATCTCGATATTTTTTTGGACAAATTCTAAAGAATTGTATACCTCAAAAATCTGTCAAATTGATGACCAAGTCCCATGAATTTTTCGGGGGGAAAAAAACCTTCAGTCCTGGTTTGCAATTTTCATGCATGTAGCCATTTGTATAATTTCAGAGATTGATATTTTTAAAAGATTTTTTAATTACAGTGAGACAATCTTGAAGCCAAGCTTGAATCAATCTTCTGTAATCATGGTCAGACAATTGGTAATATCACATATACTGATCATCATATTCAAATATCTGAAAATCCACAATTTTTTGAATGCTTACTTCTTATGTTATCATCTATAGAGGTCAAACTTAGAAGTGTTGAATTATCTTGAAATAACTTATATTTTTGGGGAGCACTTTAAATGTCAAAAACCCATAAATTTATCAAAAGAAGTCCTCAAAATAATGTACAACAGTAATAACAGCTCCAAAATTTAGATTTTATTGTTGACAAATAATCCCAATAAGTTACGTAATCTTATTTTAAAGATATTTCTTTTGGTGATCATACTTTGCGTTCAAGCTCAAAAAGGAAAATCTGAGAACAGGTGTATTTTTATGATAATATTCTAGGTAGGGACGATTTTGAATATTGATTAATATTTATATAGCATTTTTTTCCATATTCAATAAGGACCTTATAGCTAAATCTAAGTGTCAAATTTAATATTTTACAAATTGTCCCTTTTATGAATTAACCATTGTCTAAGATTTTGAAAATAAATGCTGCAAAGGTGCCGGGGATGATGGGGATGTATATATTTCATAAGTCAGGGCATCTTCTCATTAACGATGAAAGTTGATGATGATGTCATTACAATCTAAAGAATGGTTTTTGGTCTTAAAATAAAATAAGATAAGATATTTAAGTAGGACTTGGTTAGATCTAAACATTAACAGCTTTCACAATCAACGGAAAGTTCATTTCTTTGTCAAAAAACTTTGGGTTTGAAAATTGCATCATTATAAATCAAAATTTAAATGTGTTTTTTTAGGGAAAAAGAAGATAAAAAATTGGGAGATGATCAAGAACAAGCTAAACTTCTGAAAGGTAAAGAAGATCAAGAAGATGCCAAAGATCAAGACAGTGGAGAAGATCAAGGGGGAAATAAACAAATCAGAAAGTATGGGGAAGATAAAAAAGGTAAAGAAGATCAAGAAGGTGGAGACGATCAAAAAGATGGAGAGGCTCAAGAAGGTAAAGAAGATCAAGAAGGCGAAGAAGATCGAAAAGGTAAAGTAGATCAAGAAGGCGAGGAAGATCAATGGGGAATTAACAATAGTGCAAAATATGGAGAAGATATAAAAGGTAAAGAAGATGGAGAAGGCAAACAAGATCAACAAGGTGTTCAAGAAGGTAAAGAAGATCAAGAAGGCAAAGATGATCAGAAAGGTAAAGAAGATCAAGAAGATAGAGAAGATTGGAAAGGTAGAGAAGATTGGAAAGGTAGAGAAGATCAAGAACGTAGAGAAGATCAATGGGGAAGTATTAATAGTACAAAATATGAAGAAGTTCTAGAAGGTAAAATTAAAGAATTTTCACTTTTATTTTTAATAATCTTAATCAACCATTAACATCAATCCTTGGTTGATGAAAAACTTTTGTTAACAATTCTTTATTACTTCATATAGATAAAAAATTGCATAAAGGGTATTTATTCAAACTTATTATTAAGTTTTTTTTACAAGTTCAATAAAAACCTTTTGTTTTTCCTGAAAATGAAGGATTGTTTGTTTAAAATGATAAACCACCCTACTAAAAGGTAAAAAAGTTCAATATGGTGAGAAGAAGATCAGCAGAGAAGGTGGAGAAGATCAAGAAGGAGAAAAAAATCAAAGCGGAAGTAAAAATACTGGAGAAAAGAAAAATAACCGCAAATGCAAAAATAGAAGAAAGAACCGAAAAGATGAAAGAAATGGAAAACAGATGGTTCAAATGCCGAGACTCGAGGGGGTCAGTAACACAAGATGTAAAAAACAAATTGTACAAAAACAGAGCTGAGAATGTTTGTGTTAGATAATTATAATCCTAAGTGCTTGATCTTGATATCAAATTTGGGCATTTTTAATTTGAGGAGCAATGCTTAATGTCTTCATATATTTCTTCCCTGATCGCGAAGCTCCCTTAAACCCCTGATCGGGAAGGACTATCATGCGGGATATCGAATAAAGATTAAACTAATCAGCAGATTAACAAAAGATCAAGATGACCTGATTAGTCCCATCATATTTATAATGGTTTTCAATACAATTAAATGATTGCGGATTTAATTTAAATTGGGAAAATTTTTTACTCTGCCCTGCTGATGATTTTTGCCAATTACAACAGATCTTAGAAAATGTAAAAATAATTTAAAATGAATTAAAATACAAAAGTAACAGTTGGGGATGAGACTTAAACCAAGAAATTCCACGAGCAACATGGGCAATTTAGCTAAAATCTTAATTTAATTCCAGGGCCTGGTAAACATAACTATTACTGACTATGAATATTTAAAAATACAAACCTGAGCAAATCTTGGATCTCCAGCTATTGTTATAAAATTATGTATTTTTTATATGATATCAGTTGTTACTAACCCTGACAAGGATTCCTCAAAACCATTACTGAAAGGTAAATATGAAAAAATCATAATTCAGAATTGAAATCAATCCTTGGTTGAAATAACCATTAAATAAAATTAACGAATAATGAACAGCCAATTTGAATTTTTGTTTGCATTTTTGTTAAATTAGCCAATCTGTAGGTGTGATTGTTAAAGAGAATAGAGGACTTTTCATATTTTTGATTTAAATTATATAAGTCTTTAATAGAATGTGGAGCACCGGGGACTAACAGGGTAGTTTGTGTAACAGGACAAATATGTGATGAGAAGGTAAAAAATACATTAAAAATTGTAATCAATTTATTATTTAATAAAAAAAATTAATTCTTTTGCGTTTAAAGTTTCCACTTTAGATATCAAAATTAGTAATTATTTGTAGATTATCAGAATCTAATAAAACATTCTGTAATCATATTAATCTATTATCTAGAGAATCTTACATTTTGTTCATTATATCTAACTATACCATAGCATTTAGCAATAGGATTTTGATGTAAAAAAACATCCTGATTATATTTATGAACAGAATATTAGGAATTGAAAAAATTGTGAGATGTTATTAACATTTTGTTCACAATTTTTGCATTGTATTTGTGCACCGATGTATTGTTTCGTTTTTCCTAAACATCAAAAAATTTTAAATTTGTCTTAAAATAAAACAATTTCAATATTTTGTTTAGGCAAAGAAATGTCAAGGTAAAAGAAATAAAAAGAAAACACTGGTAGTATTTTGTTTAGCAAGATGATTTTCCTTTATTTTGAAATTAAATAGAAAGAGAATTTCTTTGTAACTGACTAAGGTACAGTTCAAAAAAAATTTTTTGGGAGGAGCAATTTTGGAAAGTTTGTTCAATGATATCATTTGTCTGGTTCTTTGTTAAACATTTCTCTTTTATGAGGCTCCACATGAAATTATATTATTTTTTAATTTGAAAATAATAATTTTGCATAATGTATAGGCAAACATTAAAAATGATAGGTTAAGTACCATTTTAAGTATTAATTAAAATTTTTTATGTTCTACATTAAAAGAAAAATTTAAAGGATGTACTAAAAGAATTCAGGTGGAAAGTTAAACTGTGAACAAGTAGGAAGAGCTTGTTGTGGAGAGAAAGGAACTATCGGTAAAAAATGCAAGGAGGTAAAAAATAAGACCCATTAATCTGTAAAATAAATAAACTAATATTTTAATGTATCATTTTTTGTTGCGATAAAAACTATCCATAATTTGTTATTAGATTTTGATAATCTTTTAAATACAAATTTTTTCCCTATATTATTGAATTAAATATGACTTTCAAATAAGAATACTAAAGATATTGTTCAGGGTGGTTGGTGTGTGAATGTAGATGAAGATACTGTTAAGTGCTCTGGAGGTGAACAAATTTGTTTGTTGAGAAAAAACTTTACAATTTGGAAAGATGATTAACTCAAGCTTGCATGGTTTTAATTTACGACACAGGGTTCAATTATCATTTCAAAACATTATCATCAATGTGCTGTATGAAGTTGAATCAAATGATTTCAGTCTAGACATTGGATGTTTTACTTGTTATAACAATTTGTTTAAAATTTTTTCTTTTAACTTAACTTCTGTAATTTCACCTTTTTGACTTTGCAATTTTATCTTTTCGGCTTTTTGAATGTCTGTGTTATCTATATCATTTGTCTTATTACAAAAAATGAAGCTAGGTTATTTTACAGAGAAAAAAAAAGAGAAAGCTTATTTTGCCGAAACAAAGGATATTTTGCTTTTCTCGAAGGGCTTTTCCATTTTGTCTATTTAAAGGATTATTTTGAGTCATTTGACCATGTAAACTACATCTTGGTGCAAGGTTTCATATCTCATTTCATTCTCTAAATAATTTATCTGATTCAATCCTATTGTTATTGTGTCTTTCCGCAAAACCACATACATGCACTAGGCTTTCCCTCACTGGCTTCTATAAGTGTTATACTGAATAATATGTTCTTAGATTTGGCTTAGTTAATTTGTAAATGCATTTCATGAGGAGCAAAATTCTTTTGATATCTTCGTAATTTTATTTTTTATTCTTGACCAGTATTACTTGTTTTATCTCTGCAGCTTATTCTCTTTGAAAGTTTGGAGTCTTGAGCTGAAAACTTTAGAATGAGATATCCTTAATCCCAATTACTTAATCTGAGTATCCAATGGACACACTTTAGATTTTCTTCTTAAACCGTTCTTTCTTTTATATAGTAGAGAAAAATCAAAAACCGGTTTTACTAAATTGGAGAGCCCCTCCCGTTTCTGTATATAATCTTAAATGGTGCGCAAAATTTCAAATATCGGCTTCATATACGCGACTCTTATTGGTTGAATTTTTTACACTTTTCAGGATACAAGTATAAGATTAGGTTAGTCTTGATATTAAGAAAAAGAGAGGATCACGCATTAATCTTGATATCCACCATTCTAAAGTTTTCAGCTCTGATCTCCTCACTCAAACTAACAAATCTTGAAAAATAAACTATGTGAAAAAAATAAACTAAAAATGTGAAAATTCTGAAGGATTGCAAACTAAGGGTTTCTGTTTGTTATTGTCTAATTATTTTATTTTTTAAGGAACAAAAGTAACTACAGAACCAACACAATATGAAGCAACAGCTTATGGAGATAACACAGAATATTATGCAGAATATGGATCAGGGGCTGGAGGGAATGGAACAGATCCTACAGAATTCCTTATAGGGAATGGAACAGTAACTTTAGGGAATGGAACAACAGTGAATATGACAGGAACTGCAGCTAATCAAGCAGGATCAACCTACATACCTCCATATTGTCACACAACCTGCCGGGTGATTTACAAAAATACTTATTTAATTTATCTGATTTACATTTGTTTAAGAGATTAAACAAATATATTTCAACCAGCTGCGGTTTCTATTTGCCAATATGAACCGGAGCCCGCGATTTAAAAAATTTGGGAAAATACGGCTCGGGTCTAAGCTGTCGTTGGGCCATATTTACTTCGGTTTCAAGCTGCATCTTGTTTTCCACAGAGTTGAGTTAAAACACAGTTTCATATTCTATTTGGCGGATTTTCATGGTAGGAAATGGCGCATTCTGGGGTTTTATGAGAATTGGGCCTAACTCTTTAAGTAAGTCGAGCCAAAGATCATGCAGCTGTCAATCACATGACACAAGCTGTCGTTAGAGTTGGGTCGAAGACTGGGTCTTAAAGCCGGGTTTAAGGAATTACGACTTGAGCCAAAGTTTTTAAATCATGGGCTCAGAACTAGTCAACCAGTGGCCAAATTTAAAGAATTTGAGCGACGTTTTGAATTTAAGCCGCGGTTAAAATATGGTTGGTGCCACTTAAAATTGTATCAAATGTTTCAAGATTTAAACCAGCGCTTAATTTAAAACGGGTTTTGGCGGATTTAAACCGCGGCTTAAATTCTTTAAATTTCATCTTTGCTTTCTTAACTTTTACCTCAATGCTAAACTGTAGAAGAGTTAGACTTGTGTAGTTACTAAAGATATCATAAATATATTATATTATATATATTATTATATATTTAGTTAAGTGGAATCTTAAGTGGATTTCAAAAAGCTATACCACTCGATCCCGATGCTTTGGTTGCTGGAACGGCAATTACGGTGGGTAAATATTATTTGAATGTTAGCTTGTTTTGCTAATGTTCCTCCATTTGCTTGAGTGACAACACAACAATACTCTTTATACTTTTATTTTTGAGCTAAAGAATGAGTTCTGTGAGTTACTACACTATGATTATGTCAACTGGCAAAGTATGACTAAGTGCTTGAAAATGTAAATGCTCGTAAAGAATGCAATTAAAAATTTCCTTGTGTAGTCCGAACTGAAGGATATCAAGAAGCTTTTTTAGGAAGATTTAGGTATTTTCACTCTCTTAACCAGTTTTAGAAAATATAAATTTTAGGTCTCAACACCCTTTGGTCTGATAACTCGTCAGGTAAAACTTCACTAAATACAAATTTTTTTTAAAAGGTCAAAGAAACCGAGCTCTTGCCACAAATGAACTCTGATTGTTTAATCTCTCTCTATATACATCTTCACCATGAAATAAAAAGCTTAAATTTAATTAACCATTTTAGTTGTCATATCACAATTTATGGTTGAAATGCATGTTCATAGCCAAATTTTTCAAGGCCAGCTCATTGAAAAATACCGATTGCTTAAATAGTTTATTTAGGTGCTAGGGAGGGAAAAAAAAGAGTAAATAATTTTAAAACAAATATCAAAGTGTGACACATGTTTCTATATCCAATTTTCAAGGGTTTTTCAAAAATAAAGTTTAGATCTGTAGCTTCAGTAACAAAAAAGTTATGGGCTATTCTAGATTTTGTTTTTACACAGACCAGACTTTTAGACACAAAATTTCACGGTGAGAGTGTCAAAAATGGGAGGTCTAGGACAAAAAAAACAGAGAAGGTGGGGGGGGGGACGTCAAATGCCCCTCTCTTACCCTGTTTATGGTTTTATTTTTGTTTATTTTTCAGTTCTGTGTTTGCAGTCGTATATAATCAAGATTATTCCTCCTCATCAGATCTTGGAATTCATTTTCTAATTGTTATCTGTAAATAAAGTTTTAAGAATAACTTTTTGAACAAATTTAACTAAAAATCAATTTTTTGCCACATTCTCTCTGATTTTTATCCCTTTTATTTGGGCAACCCTATGAAATTTGTTGGATCAAATAAGTTTGTTAATATTTAATTCGAGAACCATTGTAAGACCGTACTCAGGTGAAATTTTTCAAAATGTATGTTAGAAAAAAACAACTTTGACATAATACAAGTATTTAGATAAAAATAAAATGAAGTTTGTGGAAAAAACTCAATTTCTTTTGTAAAACACTTCAGTTCATTCATTAAATATTATCGAACACAATATATCAATATCAGGCAAAATGATTGCCAGTTTTTTTTTTATTTAAATGCAAGCCAACACTTTGTAACTTGTAATTAGTGAATCTTTGAAAAGAGCAGTTTCACAAATATCTTGTTCTGTTGGGGTTTCCAACTGAAAACCCCAACGGAAATATACCTCTATGAAACGTTGCTATATGAAAATGTATGAAAATGTTTCTGCTCTATATTCTGCTGTTATTTGGTGATCATCTATCATGCTGAAAAGGCTACAAATAGAGAAGTATCATCTTTGTGTGATATTTTGTGAAGGTCTCATATTATGTTGTCGGGATAATGTTAAAACAAATTCAAACTATATGGAAGATGATCCTTAGTGATGCTTGTGTGCTACAGTCGACCGCGTAATATGCTTAATACAGAAATTCTTTTCCGGTTCATCTATGTGGAATTAGCTTTACTCCTTCCCCCCTCTCCGCCTACTGAGAAGGGTAATGGCAGTTAGTTAGGATTGATTTGCCGGTAAGAGAACATCTCTGGCTTAAAGGAGGGACGTCTTAACTCCTTCATGAAGCTGTTAATATCTAAGCCAACAAAGTGCCGGAACCAAAGCAGTCACATATGGCCTCTTCACCTTGCTAAATTTAGCAAGGACACCAATCAACAAAGCTGCGATAGTACCGAGACTGACATATAGATAGGAGCAAACCTGCTGTCTAAATACTTCCAAAACCTGCATACTGTCTACATACAGCTCCATCTGTACCCTATTTTCATGATCATGTTAATCATTATAATCAATCAAACATTTTATTTTCCAATCTTTTATTATGCTTCCTATATAGAAAACTATTTATAAACTTTTTCACATTTTAATTTCAATAAAGTTCTGCAGAGCCGTTATTTCTTTTATTTAGCTGATTTTTAAGTCAACATTTATAAATACCAGAAAATAGGGTTATAGCATCTAACTGGTTGAATCTTGAATTTGTTTAATGATTGTTGAATTAAAACCTTGTTTTAATTCAACCTTGTGCTTGGGATAATGTGGGGATAATGTTAAAACAAATTCAAACTTTAAGGAATACAATCCTTGCTGAAGCTTGTGTGCTACAGTTGACCGTGTAATATTCTCAATACAGAAATCCTTTTCCTTTTCCTGCTATATAAAAAACTGCTGAATTGATCTGGCTAAAATTTTGTGTGGTTCCTCCCATGACCCTGGGGAAGGTTTATGGTTTATTAAAATTTCAAAAATTACCCTCCATCAAAATTTGATTTTAATTAAATTTTGAAAATTCATGATTTTTTTTTTAAATTCGCGATTTTTTGGTTATTGTTTTACAATGTTTACAAAAAGAAAATCCTCACAATTTAAATAGAAGATGGGCGCAAAGCCCCCTAGAAACCTAGTAGAATATATTTATTCAATAAAATCGCCTCTCAAGCAGGCAGGAAAATATAAATTTAAGTAACAAGATGTAAAAATGTAATTTGTACAGTCGTCCTAAATGTTTTATCCATTTATGTATTTGCAACTAATCAACTAAAATCTGACTTACCAAGATGAAATTCATTCATAACAAAAATTTCATGAAATACAAAATATCCAAGCAAAAAAATTTTAAAATATGAAAAACTTTGTTTTATTTAACTCCCTTGTAAATTGGTGTTAAATCCCTGAAAGACACTGGCTCAACGTTTAAGTTTGAACCACTTAATTAATTCCCAAGTTAATTGAGACTTTCCATATTGTGTCAATTAATCATTATTTAATTCATTGAAAATAAATCTTACAATGAAAAATTTATTACATCTAATTAAACTTACAATGTTAGAAATAAATTTGGAAAGATAATTTTCAGAGAAATATGGTGAATAATGCTCCTGTTTATTTTCAGAGAAATATGGTGAATAATGCTTTTCAGAGAAATATGGTGAATAATGCTCCTGTTTATTTTCAGAGAAATATGGTGAATAATGCTTCTGTTTATTTTCAGAGAAATATGGTGAATAATGCTCCTGTTTATTTTCAGAGAAATATGGTGAATAATGGTCCAGTTTATTTTCAGAGAAATATGGTGAATAATGGTTTATTGGGGAACTTACATTTTAATTTTCCATATTAATCAGGATTTAATTATTTTTACACATTTAAAAGGATCACTGTACTCGCTACCACTTTTTTGACAGTGCATTCCTTCTCCACAAGAATGTGTCCTAGTCCGGGCAAACAAATCATTTTCAAATGTACATTCACACCTTTGCTTCTTTTCAATGCATTCCTCACCAGCGGGACAATTCTAGGAGCATGGGTATATTCTTTTTTTTATCAAAAAACAATCCATTTTCATCATCATAAATAAAAATAATTAATAAGGCCTCTTGTTCTGATATTGGAGAGTTGAGTTAGTAATTTTATGATAAAAACTGATTTAGCTCAGCACTAAATGATACTGGCTGTTTTGACATGAATTAAATTGAGTGTTTGTGAAAATTTAGATTGTAACGGAGTTCAAAGTGCATATTTTTAACAAAGAATGTCAGATCATGGTTGGAATCAATTATTTCTGTAAATGGGAACTCTGCTGGGTGTTTCCATAAACTAAAACTCCTTTTTGTAAAATTCACAAACGAATGTAACAGATTCTTTAAGAATTGATATTTGTGCTTTTATGAATAGTTAAAATGTATTTATATGTTTGTATTTTTTGTGAACATCCTGTGAGCACTGTGTATCTTTAAGTATAGACTCAAGGTTAAGGTTACGCCTTAAACCTAACGTTGAAATCTTGGAAAGATGATATTATCAGTTGTAGCTAATCCTTGAGCAGCTTCGGAGTTCTAAACCAACTCTGTACCATCAAAAGGGGATTTTATAGATATTCTAAAATCAGAATAGAATCATCATTTTCGGACCAAGTCCTGGACCAGAAAGTTCATCTACACCTACAGCTTAAAGCAGTTCCCTACAGAAGCAGCATTCTACAGTTCTGCTCCAGACTGCTCCGTGTTCTGAAGACTCATCAATTCCAGCAGTTGAGAAGCTCCCTAAATCCCCCCACAGAAAGTAAAAACGCTCCTATATATTCCGTAACGAGTTTTAACCAATAAACATTTTTCAACCCCCACCATGTATCATTTAGTTAGACCTAAGGTTTAACAAAATAGTTCTGGGATATATTTAAATCAAGCTTTATCATTACAAAGTTATTTCTATTTAATTCAAAAAAAATAATCAAAATTTTTAGAAATGGTTTTAAATTTACTAAATAATAACCATCAATCAAAATCATGTTCTTATATTTTACTAACACTACACTTAATCTTCAAATTCGTCTTCAATATAAAGATATTAAACTTCTACTGTTTACCAATGACAATGAAATAGTAAAAAAAGAAACCCCAACTCTAATTTTCTTACTCCAACATCGTTGCAACCAGAACGAGGAAAATCTTTATCGGTTTTGTTTAGTTTTTGCTATTCCCCCAAAGGAATTGAGTATTTGCCACAAACTCTAAACTGCTGATCCCCATTTATTTGCAACACAATGTCGTGGCTGTAGAGATTTCAAACTATGAATTTTGTTGGATTAAATAATCTAAGTTTGAAATATCAAAAGCTTACACCATCAGGTTACAGAGATATAGGGATTAGAACATTTGAGTTTGTGACAAAGACCAATTCCTTTGGCAAATTAAATCAAAGTCAGAATAATCATACAACTTATTTATACTTAAAGGGCAAGAACTTCAGAAGAGAGGGCAAATGTGGCTTTTTTTACATTATACACCATTTCCTTAGGGCATGCTGCATATCCGATGGTAAGGATGGTAGTCAGGACTAGTAGATGGAACAGAATATTCATTCTTCCCAAACATTGCGGTAATTTCAAAATTTATCTTGTTGCATGCCACAAAAATCTACTCCCTCTATTGTAATTTAAAATAACATACATTTTACGCATCATTCCATTAGCTTTCTCTAAGACTAGTTTTTTTATGATTAACATATTAATATATTGTTGATTATTATTCTTAGTAATTTTTAACAAAATTTTGCCAAATTTTCCTAAAAATTGATAAAAACTTTTTCATGGAAACCCTACTTCAACAGTTTGTTTGTAATATGAACTGAAAGTATTTTAGAATAATGAAATTTTGTTTGAAATTATACATACAGAATGAATGCAAGAAATTTGGAGGCTAAAGTGAACCTTTTGTCTAACATGCATTTGGTTGTTTAATATTATGAATAAAATTCTAACAGTGCAAAATGAGGTTGTATCTTTAACTGCATTAACATTTTTTTAACTTAAAAAAAGAAAATTAAAAAGTTGCTTAAGAATTCATTTCTGGGAAAAAATTATGCAAAGGCAACTTTATTCTTTAAACAATGCTTTGGCAAGTTAATTCCAAAAACGTATTTTTATGGCTAAGGAAAAAATGTGAATGTCAGAATTTGCGTAATGATGGTAAATTAGCTGTATGTCAAAGCACAGTGCAATAAAGTTAAAGGGAGTGTTCGCGAAAAATGAAAGGGGGAATAGGCTTAATGCGATAAAAAAGCGCTTTTGATCGCTACTAATCTTACTTCTATCTGTTGCGTCAATAAGGAGAAAATTGTTAAAACGACTCAAACCGAAGAACGCAGGGTCCATACAAGTTCGGAAAGATGCAACATTCAACTCGGATAGTAAACAAATCAATTTAATTCCAAACAAATCATTCAGATATTACAAACAGTAGTCATTGATTATTTTTCGATGCATTCGTATATAGTTAATATTTCACAATTTTTTTGATTTTTTTTTTTAAATAACTAGAAATTCAGGGCGCTTCGCGCCCTGAATTTCTAGGCTTTTAGGGCGCTTCGCGCCCATCTTCTATTTCAACGTTTAATTGTGGCTTTATCTGTGAGCATCTTCTCTTTGTACAGTATAAAACAAAAACAAAAAAAGTTTGCGGATTTCATAATATTTTTTCGCGCATTTTCAAAATTTTACAAAAATAAAAAACTTTTAAACACAAATTTTTAAAATTCAATCATTCATAAACCTTCACTGGGGTCCCAAGATGGCCCACAAAAAATTTGGGCCTGATCGGTTCAGCCGTTTTGACGTTTATTGGATACAAACAGACAAACAAACAAACAGACGCCAAATTTATATATAGATTTTTGCTGGCGCTGGATTTTCGAACATTCCTGGAAAATATGAAAACATAGTCTACATTATCAAAAATCCTTGAAACAGGAATAAATGTTTTCAAAAGTAACTCTCAGATCACGAAAAATACAAAATATTATGAAATATCAACCCCCTTTAATTTTTCACTAACACTCCCTTTAAATTCGTTCCCGGATTTTCTGAAAAAAAGAGGTTATTTATAGAATTTTTTTATTTTTATTAAAATAAAATAAAATTGAAATTTAAGTTTTTAATTTATGCATATTCATCTAGATATAATGAAAACATAGAATAACAAGTTCACAAACATTTCAGAAAAAAATTAATTGGCTGTTGCATGTATGACAAAATAAATGATACTTACAGCACAATGTATCGTAGAAGTATGAAAATCAAATCTCTGTAAATGATTTTATAACCAACTTTTTAATACAGATGTTACTTTATAACTCTAGTTTATGATGGTATAAATGTTAGCCTTAACTCAGTTTGGTAGTAAAATACAAAATCTGACTTTTAATTAAAATAGATAAAAATTACAACGACACTTCAATTCATGTCTGAGGTTTATTCCCAATAACTATTTTTTACTAGAGATACTGCATATAAAACAAAGTTTTGATCCTCATTGTAGAAAAGGGATTTCTTATATGCATATAAATAAGAACGATTATTAATGTTTATGTTAATGTTTAATGTAAATATAGTGTTTCTTGCATATTGTGTTATTATCAGTACAGAGCTGAAAACTTTAGAATGAAATATCCAGAGAAGCTCCTAAATCCTTAATATCCAGATTAAATATTGCTTGTTCTCCACATGAATTTAAACTCCAGATTAATTATTCGACGGGATATCTGGATATTTCATTCTAAAGTTTTCAGCTCAGTTTTGTTAAACAAATTCATCTTTGAACATGATGTTTTGTGAATCCTGAGAAAGCTGGTAATGCGCAGTCTATCCCGTAATATTTTCAACACAAATATCATGCTTCCGTTCAACATGTGGAAGGAACGTTACCAGACCCCCCCCCCTCTCTCTCCACAGTCCACCTTCCGAGTTCAGTTGAAGTAGAAATGTCGTGCGGTAAACATCTCCGGTCCTAAACGGGTCCCCCAACTCCTTCATGAACCAGCCACAGATCCCAGCCCTTTCACCGGATGCTGCTAATGTTGAAGCCAACATAAGTCAGGGTTCAAGTCATAAGTAACCTGCAACCCGAATCACCCCTGACACCAAAGCCTAGATAGAAGTTAAACTGCTGACAAGATACCAAGATCCTGGGTGCAGTTCTTCATGAAGTTCCAGTACCCTATTAATTTCTTAATCAATAAGCATAATTTTATCTTACCATTTTCTAGAACTCCATAGAAAACTATTTATAAACTTTATTTACTTTCCTTGTTTTACTTCAATAAAGTTCCGAATAGCTCTTTATTGTCCATTTATCTATTTTGATTATAGTTCAACATTTGACTGTAGGTCAACAAATTTAGGCTCTTCATTGTAAACTACCCTCTGGGAATTAATGTTACTGCAGCCAAGGGTCTAATTAACAAAACAAAAAAAGATTTAAGTAAAATGTGCTACAGCCATAGATAAAGATAGATTGCGCATAAGACGACATTTTTCATCTTGAAAGATATAAATGTACAGAGATGTTTTAAAGATATTCCTATTATATAGATTAACTATAATGTCGGTTGTGAACATTGGCAGTACTTATGTCATTGAGTACTTGTGGTGTACATGAGTTCTGTAGAGAGTAATTTAAGTTAGTTTAGTCCTTCTCATGTCCTTCTTCAGTTCTCGTCAATATGATATATTGCTCAGTGAAATATTGTTGTTCAAATAGTTCCATTCCCGGAGTTATTTTAATGGATTATGAAATCCATTAAAACACCAAACCACCCCGCTTATCATTGAAATACACTTTGACCCCTAGAAGTATGAGTTTGCGGACTGTACAATTCTTGGTGATTTAGCGTACATAAGCTATCTATGTTTATTTATTTATCTATGGCTACAGCTTATGAATTATTAATCTATAAAACATAGCAAGGGTAATACAATTAATATTCATAGCATCCAAATTGTAGACTTTGTGTGATGGAATAAAATTATATTATTATATTATATGTGCAATTCATTCATAGCGGAGCCTAACTGTTGTATTCTTATTAAAAGCCACGCAATTAAAGTATGTATTCATATACTTACTGAGCATAGACTTCTACTCTAGTTGAAAGCACTCCATCTTTATAGCATCAAACAGAACAGATCTAATTTTTATCCAGAAGCCATTAAAACGGTCTTTGCACTGTGAGTAAGCAGGAGCCATGTTACAAAATGTTTCTAGAATGACTTACTTCCTCATGCCAAGCAATGACAATCTCTGCAGTTCATCTGATTCTGAGCAAATGAGACTCCACACACTGCAAGCTAAATGAAAGCCTAAGAGTAAATAAATTAATGAATAAAAAGAGCGTTGAAAAAAAATACTTCACACTTTTTTTTTAAGACTTATTTATTACCCAATAATAATAATGAAATTATTATTATAGGGTATTAGCTCATTATCTCTAACAGAGTAATTAGGCTTGCAGATTGCATAAAAGCATCATTTCAACCATTTTATAGATTAAAATGAAATATAAAATCACCTGAGATGAGATTTTAAAAGCTTAAACCAGAGTAAAACCCGGTCTTTGTGTCTGCTTAGACCCAAGTAAAGCTCCGGGTTTTGGATGGCCTTGAGTGTAGTAAAAACCAACCACCTTGGGTTTTTCTCTTTTCAAGGCTCGGGTCTTCAACAGCTGATGATAGTAAATTTAAAAAAAACTTTAATGTTTGTACATTTAAAATCTCGGGAATTATTTTAAGTGTCATATTTGATCAAAGGTATGAAATAAACATACTATAAAAATAATGTATATAGGTAAAGTTTGAATTGTCATAGCTGATCTGCTAGCAATCTGTCTGCTATAGATAGAAAGCTTTCTAAGCAGTCTCTAATTGGTCGAATCAGAGCCAATCCTGATTTGGGTTCTATCTGAGCCCAACTGTGGGTTTCACTTGGGTTTAAGCTTGTAAAATCTGATCTCTGTTGTTAAAATATAATATTGTTCGTATAATATAATCAAAAAATGAAGGTATACTTCAGGGTTATATTAAATTTTGCACTAGTTAACATCTTTTATGTAAATTTATATGAAAAACCCCTTAAATGATCAAAAAAAAATTTTTTTAAACATTTTGTTTTTTAAAGTTATCTTCTGTTTTTATATTTAAAAAAGTAATAAGACAAACTTTTGTCAGATGAAGGAGGTTAAACTTTAAAGATCAGAATGTCAATAACTATGAACTAAATACAAAAATATCAAATCTTTAGGTGCAAACAAAAATTCTGTATCTTGTTCATAAGAAATTCATCATTTTTGGAAATCCTTTGGTGTTTAATTGTTCTTTTCCAAGAGTTAATGCCAGTATCTAAATTTTGAAGTAGTTTTCATTTTTTGAAAATTTAAATACTTAATTAAAATTTCTAAGCCTGTGGTTTAATTAAATTCCTAGCATCAACATCTTGTTTATTATGTTTATTTCTTCATAATTCTAAAAGTTTTCATATTGTTTAAATAGTGGCTGACACATGATGTCATTGAAATATGATTTTTTAGATTTTACTGGGCTTTTGTAACTGAAAAAACATTCAGATAGTGTCTATGCAAAGGTATTGTACTTCTCTGGCCATAGTTATCTTTAAAATCTAAATTATCCAAATAAGTAAACAGTCCCTTTAAACTTATGGATTTTTTTTGATACATACTTTCATTCAAAATGTATATGCCGGCAAAAAAGTATATAAAAAGAAGGCTAAAATGTTTTGACTAATAGGTCAAATTGTGAAGGAAAGTCACAGCTTTCTGAAATATTCAGAGAACCGTTAAATCCAGGTGATTTCAATTAAAAAATTTTAATTTCACTATGAAATATATCAGACATTCTTAGTAGATATTTTTGATACCAAAAACCGAAACCAAAGAAACCGAAAACAAACAAAAAAGTAAAAATCACAACAGAAAACATAATTTCCCAAATGATATCACAAGGCAATTAGATTTATAAATTTATTTAATTCAAGTTTCATCAAAATGTGAGATTTTTTATTAAAATTCGAGAATAAAGGGAATGCTCCTTATTTGCCTCGGAACAAATAAGAAACTTTTTATACCCAAGATCATGAAATTGTGAGTAAAAATGAAGAATAAAAATTCTCTCAAAATTGAATGAAAGATTGAATCTTAATAACTATACATAATTCTAAAAATTAGTTAATTAATCATTTACATTTTTGAATTTAAATTCTTAAGGCGGTAACTCTTTCGCACATTAAATTAATCCTTTTTCTTCTTTTTCTTCTTTTCATCCTTCTTGCAGTTCTTTTTGCATTTCTTTTTCTTCTTCTTTTTCTTTTTGCTTTTTTTCTTGTTTTTCTTTTTTTCTTTCCAAAGTTTTTTCATTGCATCTTCAAAGATTCTCTTTCCGTTTTTCATCTTTTCCTTCCTTTCAAATATATCTTTCTCACAAATCCTAAAAATGTCAGCTTGATCCTTTAATAATAAAGGAATGTTTATATAATTGAAAGTGCCTCTCTATTCTAAAAACAGTACACATTCTTAGATTCAGAACAGTACAGATTTAACTTGGATTTCAGAACAAATGTTGTAGATATATTTAGTTTTATAACTGAAAATTGATAGATTGCATTTTTAATTTCTCTGTAATAGTTAAAAAGGAAGTTGCTATAGTTCTTCTCAAGAAAAGAACACAATAACTTCCTTTTCTATAAATAGTCATTTCTGTTTGTTTGAAAATCTGATTATAATCCATTGACTGTTTTTCCTCACGTTTTAATTGCCCAAGTGTACTTTTGTAAATCAAGCATGTTGCACTTAAACAGTGGGGAGTTTGGTTACAAAAAAAGGGAACATGTTTGGCCATATCCCATACCCATTGGAAAGTCTTAATAAATGTTCCCATTAGGCGGAAGTACTATTTTCCAAGGACTATAAAATAGATTGATCACAAAATTGGCACTTGTGAGTTTATCATTTTCACCTGATATTAGTAGATTTCTCTTTCAAACAAGATTCCATATTATCATTCCCACTCTAAAATTATTTCTAACTCTTATTTTTATTTCAAAATATAATTTGATCACAAACATATTTATCTAAAGCTTGCTTCAAACAACTGTAAAAGCACCTTTTTTTTCGTGTCTACAATTGTATTAAAATATAAAAACAGTAATATTATGCTTAATGGAAATTGAAACATTTAGCAGATTAAAAAAATTATTGCTTAAGACTTTAAACCTTGGTAACATTTGAGTCCCCTCTTACAATATCAGCAAAACCTAAAAATAAATTTATAAATTTTGATTAATTAATATAAATATCAACAATAAAATTATCAAAAACTAATAAAACTAATAAAATATTTATTCTGACACACTAAAATCGAAAGACGAATGAACATGCTGCATTATTATTCACATATAATTAAAGTTTCAAATAAGGCATAGATGGGGCACTAATTGATGATGCCCATCTGGGACAAACAAAGACATGTGCATAGAGGTTAGGACACATAGTGGAAACTCGCACAGAAGACACAAGGACAATGAGGAATCACATTAAGCAAAACAATGCATATTGAGTACACACATTTAGTAAGCGCATCAAGTAAGAGTAAGTGCATCAAGTAAGCACATATTGAGGACAAAAGTGTGATATACAATAATCATAACATACATTCATTACATATTTGTATAAAAAAATTTGTTTAAAACTAATTAATTACCAAGACTGCAGAATTCTTTCTTATTGGTAGAGTGCATAAATTCCTCTATTGTATCGTAGTATTCCTCTCCACTCTTTAACAGATATATCGATAAAAATAGAAAAATGAGTTTACAATTTAATGAAGAAAAACAAGTTGATATCAACCTCAGGGTTTTGTTTTACAATTTTCTTATAAAAATGGGCCCTTTCTTCATGACATGGGTCAGAGGAATGAATCTATCATGAAAAAGAAAGACATTTTATGTTTTTTTTTCTTTCAATAAACCAGAGTACTGTTCAACTTATTTCGCATTTGCCCAAAGTAAGCTAAATAAATTATTAAACAAACTCACCAAACATCCGTTTAGCGATAAACAAAAAGAAAATCTGAAGTCCAACATCTGAAACAATATTCTAATGTTTGAATTTTAACCTTATTAATGGTATAATGGATAATTAAGCTTAATATTGTTAGTAAATTGTTGATGGCTAGGGTTTTTGACAATTATTTCATGAAAAAAAAAGCAGGAAAAGTTAGAAGACAACATTCAAAACAAAAATGACTATTATTTTAGAACACATCCATTTTTTCTTTTTAATTTTCTGTTATTTTTCTTTAAGTGCGGTTTTTTGTTCATTAACAATTTAGAAATTAACAGTTTTGCCATTTGTTAAGAGAATATGCGGTTATTTAAAACAAATGTTATTCGTTTAGAGCACCAAAGCTCAGATTTTATCAAGACTTGACATAAAAGAAGGTCAAACATGAGTAATCCGTGATCGGACCACAATTTTAGTGGGAGTGATACCACATGACCACAGAGAAGGTTCAATTTGATCATGGCCGCCCTCTGGTTAGTTCACCAAAAAAAAAGGAAAATAGATTTTTTTTGAATTTGTAATAATTATACGTAAATTCTTGAACGTAAAGCAATCATAATTCTTATTGCCCCAAGTAAAAAATTACCAGATCAGTTTCATTTGATTTGATTTTATAGTTTAGTTGAGAGTTAACAATGGTTCTTCCTCCAAATGGTGTCACTGAAAAAATTCATTATGTGAACTTATTATTCTTTTGTATATTTAAGTATTTTTTTAAATTCCTTTCCTGATTTAGTTTTGAAGTCCAGGCTAACCAAGCCAGTAAAAGGATCCTAAATCAGAGATAAATTGATTATTTCTAACTCTTAATCGATTTTGAAAAAGGTATATTATTTAATGTTTAAAATAATTTTATGAATATTGAATGGAATTGCATACAATAAACAAAAAAAGTTATAATATTTAAACAATACCCGCATAGAACAAACGACCCTGTTTTAGAGTCTGAAAACGACCCGCACGACCCCAAAAACGGGCGCCGGCCCGACTCTGTTTTAGTACTAATAAGAGAGTCGTTTTTAGACCGAAAAGACCCTGAATCCGTCTCTCCTCAAAACGGATGGGTGTCGGTTTACTTCACGGCAGGGGGCCATTATCTCCCTCAAGATTTATTACTTTGGCGCCATA